CACACACACATACACACACACACACACACTCACACACACACACACACTCACACACACACGACCTGCGGCTGATCCCTGACGTGAAGCTCCAATAGGAGTGTTCCAGTGAACTCACTGCTCTCAGATCTGTTCAGAAAGGCCAAACTGAGCTAAAGAGGCTCACAGATGACTGACCGGACGCTGGAGAGCTTCTGCAGCAGCATCAGCATCTTCTCCAGCAGCGGCGGCTCCAGACGAGGGTTACGGAGGAACAGCGAGGCGCAGCGGAAGAAATCCTCGGAGCTGCACTGATCCAGAAAAGCCGACAGCGTTCCTGCTGGACAGAGAAGTGTTAGTCTGAGATTCAGAGCCGGAATATCAGCTTAGAAAACATACTGATTCTATTTCATTACACAAAACATAACATTAACAAGACAGGCATTATTTCTACAATAAAACAATAACATTAATATTAATGCTTAAATTAATTTTAATTCTAATATTAATTATTGCTGATTAATATTAATGAATAATTTATAGTAATTATTAAACTAATTAATATTAATGCAACACAGGATTTCTATATAAATTTGAATATTATTAATATTACAATGAATAATATATTAAACAAAAATCAATAAAAAAATAAATGAATAAAAATGAATAAATCAAATTTGATTTAAATAAATAAGTAAAATAAATACATTTGATTAAAATAAATATATTAAAACAAATAAACAACATTGGATTTAAATAAACAGAATAAAAAAGTACTTGGCAATAAAGGTGATTCTGATTCTGATTAAATAAATGTGATTGAAATAAATTGATAAAAATAAATACATAAAATTGTATTTAAATAAATATGTTTGAAATAAATACATTGATAAAAAATTAATATATTAAATTGTAATTATATAAATAAATGTAAATGAATTTATCTGATTTAAATAAATAATAAATTTATCCGGAATAAATTAAATAATAAATTAAAATAAATACAGTTTAAATAATAAATAACTACATCAAAAAACATTTTAATAATTTTTTTAAACAAAATGAATTTGATTAAAAGAGATAAAAACATAATACAATTTTATTTAAATAAGTAATAAATTTGACTAAAATAAATAGATTAAAACTGAGACTGGGCTGATATTCTTTCAAAAGAAAGAAAAGTCACACAACGTTCAGAAGAAAGAAGGCTTTGAACGACGTGATGGAGATGATTATCGGGGGCACTATCACTTTAAGAAACCAGCTACAAACTACACGCTAAACATTACAAAATAATTCCACTTATTGTCTTCTTTTAAATATGCATTAATAAATGCTGCTGTGATCAGATTAGCATCACACATTATCGTACTTTTTACTTTCTTATTAAAAACTTGCAAGTATCTATAAAAACCCTGCTTTTCTAATCCAAATGTGTCTGCCATGGCCTGCTAACTCAAGAAATTTCCATTAGAGGTGACTGACTGTAATTCCTCTCCATAAAAATAATCCACATCCAGAGGCAATGACTGAAAAGGGTACAGTAACCATGGTAACGCTGCACACACTAACAGCTGCATCCAAAACACACACAGACTGTGATGGGAATTTAATTAAACCCATTATTAAACCACAAATTAAATAAACCGGCGGAACTGGGTCTGGCGTCCCATAATAAGGTTTGAAAAATGTAAAAAATAAATAAATAATAAAAAATAAGTTTAAACTAACTAAATTTGACAGAAAATTAAATAAAAAATGATTAAAATAAATAAAAAAATAATAATAAATTTTATTTAAATAAATACATAAAAACATTTGATTAAATGAATGAAAATGAATAAACAAATCAAATTTGATTTAATAAGAAAAATTAATTAAATTTGATTAAAATAAATAAAATTTGATTTACATAAATATACATTTGAATAAATGATTAAATAAATATGACTGAAATAAATCAATACAATTTGATCTGAACAAGTAATAAATTAATATTGAAACAAATAGATTCAAATAAATAAATATAAATGTGATTAAAATAAATAAAATGAAAAAAATTATTTAAATAAATAAGTAGTTTAAAATAATACAATTTAATTTAAATAAATAAAAATTTAATAAGTTAAATACAACTTTTTACAAATTAAAACATTTAGAATAAATAGAAAATGAAGCATGATTTTTTTTTTAAATTAATAAACGAATAATGATTTAAATAAACAAATAAACAAAAAACATTTGATTAAAATAAGAAAAGATTTAAATAAATATAAACATTTAGATAAAATATAAATAAAATGTTATTTAATAATAATAATACATCTAACAGGACACTACAATAGTGAGTAGGAAAAAGGTGCAAGGATGTAATGAAATATAAACTAAATATTTTCCAATAATATTTTAGACAAAATTATAATATTTATTTTTTACAGTACTAATTTGTAAGAATTTAAAAATGATGGGGCGGAGTCACACAAGTAAATATGGGGAAAATATCGGTAAAACCGATTATCGGCCAATTTGAACATATCACATGATCAATCAATGGTCATATTTAGGAGTCCGTTTAGCGGAAATCCCACAACAGCATATTCTGCGCTCATGAAGAAAGAGTCTCTCACGTGATTCTGAGCTCATCTGCAGCAGCACATCCAGCGACGGAGCCAGAAGAGCGGGACTGGCAGATCTCAGCAGAGCCAGAACCACCGGCAGAGCCTGGTACTCCAGGAACAGAGCCTGCCCTTCATCGGAGCGAACCGCACAGGACAGCACCTCCACAGCCTGAGCCAGAACATCCACTGCACATCAGATATAATTACACACAGACACACCATCAGAAATCTACTGTTGCATGATAAACACACTCACAATAAACCAGCTTTCCACTGCTCACTGACACTTACAGATTCATATTCATAACAGCCGAATAATGATTACAGGAATAGTTCACTCACAAATGAAAATCTGCATCCGAGTTTGTTTCTTCGTCAGGTTTGGAGAAATGTAGCATTGCATCAGTGTCTCACTGCAAGTGAATGGGTGCCGTCAGAATGAGAGCTGATAAAAACATCACAGGTAATCCACAGCACTCCAGTCCATCAGTTAACATCTGGAGAAGACAAAAGCTGAAACAAATCCAGCATTAAGACGCTTTTAACTAAAATACATTGAGTCCATAATCCATAATAACACTTCCTCCAGTGAAAAAGT